AAAAAAAAAAAAAAAAATCCATTCAAATTGAGTAAAAAATACTTGTATTTTAAAATAGTTCCTTCTAAATTTTTCTATACTCAATTAAATTTATTATTTTGTTATAGTAAGTCGATGTTCAAAATCATAAAAATTAATCATTTTGCTACCGAACCTGTAACCTGTTAATTAAACACTTTTTATTAAAATATTACGAACATCAATATGCGAGTACCTTTTTGACATACTTTGTATAATAGGTAACGATTAAATTTTACTATTATTTTCCTAGATCCTTAATCGACAGCCTCCGTTTGGCAACCACATACATGACTTTATTCGACAGATTCCAAAATATAAAGTGCGAACAACTTTTGACGAAATTTCAGAACAAATTATCGTAACAATCTTTTTAATTGATACAGATAATATTTCAGCAAATGTGCTATATCAAACCGTATCGATTTTAGTGGGGGATTCTGAAAATCGTCTTCTAAAAGTTCAACAAATATGGTAGTATTATATTATTTATATCTATATATATATATCCATATAGGTATTCTTATTATAATTATATTATATATTATATTATATTATATTCTTATTATAATTCTTATTATAATTATACGCTATTATCGTAAATAATCATTTTTTTTTTCTAGTAATGAAGAATTTTTGAAACAAAAAGGAGTTATAAATATGATTACATCATTACAAAATAAATTGTTTTTGGATACACCCAACTACGAAATTATTATTTGTTTGATAAGTGATTATTGGGGTATGTTTTAACATAATATTTTAATATATAAAATCATATTTTTTTTTTTGAATAATATTATTTTCAAGAGTAAATTCATATATCTGTTGGTTCGTAGTTGGGATCGATATTGAAATTAAGTTTAAACCAAGCAATCATGAAGAACATGTTAAAGAATCAATGAGTGAAGAAAACTGTAATGATGAATCACCGTTAAAAAATTTCCTCTCTCCGCCAAAAAAAAAAGTATTTTATTAATTTCATAATGTTTTTTTTTTATGTGACTGGTCATTTTAAGTATTATATATATATTTTTAATTTATCGAATTATTGTTGTACATTTGAAGAAGCGGACTTCGAGAGTAGCAAAACAAGGCGATAAAGATAAAATACAATTAAATATTAAAAAGTATTTGCATAACATTCCTTCGAAAGATCAAGACCCTAAAGTCATGAATATAACGTGCATGGAAGAGGATGCTGATGTTAAGCGTTGTGTCAATGAAAGTAGTGTTGCAACACATAGAATTGCAGGCGAAATGTTCGAAACACRAACTAATTGCCGAAACAATGGTAGAACATTTAAATTATTACCAGTAAACATTTTAAATCTTTAAATTCAATAATAAAACTGTTATTATTACTATAGGACAGTTAAATGAATATTTTAAATTCGACAAAGATAATTTAAATAACTATTTCTATTACGATGAGTAAGTTTTACATTTTCAAATATTGTGTTATAATATACCTACTATTATATAATTAAACACTGTTGCCTAAAGCATATCTTTGTATCAAAGGTTAATCAATGACGACGTATTCGGTGATTTATTCGTACCCGAAGATAATAAACATATCATCTCTAAGACATTTGATTCGGCGATAGAGAAGTGTTGTTTTAGCGAAAGTGAGTTTTTTAAATTGATATCCAATTTATTGTTATAGGAATATTAATTGTTTACTGAAAATTTAAAATTTAAAATTTTCGTTGAAATCTGTGTATGTAAGTGATATGTATATGGATATGAGTTTAACACGCGATATTTCTGGCTTAGGTACGAATCAAACAAATTKTTTGAAAAATAAAATTGGGACTGAAATTATCGAACCGTATGTATTATTAAATATTACAATTGTTTTGGTTATTATAACATATTAGTATTGTACTGTGGTTTAGTATATCTACTACTGTAACGGAATATTCCATAAAATTTTTCTGCACTGTCTAGTACATAATTAAAACATTACGATATACGCATATAATAAATGCAATGCTGTTATGTACTCCTTATTTTGTTATTATAGTGTACCTAGTGATAATAATTACAATTGATTCCAACACTGCTCCTGTAACGTAGAACAAATCATTACGGTTTATTCATTTCAATGCAGAACAATAGTATAATATATAATAAGTATAATAGGTATACTATATATATATATATATATATATATATACCTGGTACATGTATGTAGGTTTCGGAATTAATTTTTAAATAATAACCATTTAGTCTTAAGTTTACCGTTTTTAGACATTATTAATGATACTTGATTTATGATATTTTACGATGCGGTGTCGCATAATAACTATATGGAAGTTTAACGCTATTATCTATTATTACACAATATTCGTACAAAACATATTATCATCTGCTACAGKAGTGTCAGAAATTATGTATTTTTAATTATTTACTTTTCAGCATGCAATCGAAAGTCCCCAGAGGAGACGGTTGTTCGAATGAGAAATTAGAATACGATAAATCGATAATAGAAGAAAAATTGGGTGATGCTAATGTGGTGGCAGGTGAATGTCTCCCAGAATCTAATCAAGTCACCAGTGAAAATATAGATCAACATTACAGGGAAGGTAATTACTAATTTCAAGTTATTTTCTGGATGTAACATTAAAAAATGCGACTTAAATAGAAATATGCGTACATCTTTCAAATTCTCGTATGAATATCAATACAATTAACGCATATCTAGTGCTACTATTTACTTTTTAAGTTAACAAGTAGGTATCATAAATTATATTTTGGCTTATATTTTCCAGTAGATCAATTGCAAGCAAACAAAGAAAACGTTAATCCTTATAAATCGGAAATACGGTAAAGAAATATTATTACTATTCTCAAACTTTTTAAAACAACAAATAAATTTGATTCTTATTTACAATAATATCATTGTTTCATGGCGGCACTGCAGGGTGAAAAAACGCCTTCCGTTCGGTGTTTTTCAAAAATATCACGTAGAGAGCAAACAGCACGAAATCTCGTCAATACCGACAACCATTGGATTTGACGGAAAACAGAAATTTTTTGTGGATTCAAAAACTGTGAATAAAAATCGTCCCGTGTTTTCTTCAAGGTATATTTCGTACAGTAATATTATGTCGATATAAAATAAAAATAAAACAGTGTTGTTTAAATTCAGTGCATACTGGCCGATAGTCAGTATATTCTGATTTTTTGAGTGTTCAATAGTCCAAGGGCACTCCCTAATAATATATTTATAGATAAAGTGAATATAGGAATGATTATAGCACTAATATTATTACATTAATATTTGTTAGAAAGTCAAAATATTAAAAAAAAATTAATTAATAGGTATACCTATTATATACTAGCTAATGGAATTATTATATATTTTCTTATACTTATTATTATTATTATTTCTTATGTTCTGATCTGCACTTTTTTCCTCAAATATAATATGTTTGTTCGAAATAAGAAATTTTAGACTCCCGTCGTTTGAAAACTTTATATTTATTATTAAATAAAATTATTTTTAGGACGCCAACGACGACGAGGAATCAGTGGGATAACGAATTTGATCAAAATTTCTCGACGTTAAATGTTGAACCTGTGTGGAAGGACGACGTGGTTGTGGGTCGATTGTCTCGCCAAATAGAAAACAATTTGAAGGCCCCTTTCGATTTCCGAGTTGACCGGGGCGCGGAAAATCTACCCGAAGTAGCTGCGATCCGTCGCAACGAATACTCAGCAGACACATTGGTTCCGGTCCATCATGGTGGTCAGCAGACGAGACCGGATGTAGGAGTTTTTGAGGTACCGATCGCCCGGACACCGAGATTCAGTGATCGTGTTGGCGGTAAAATGACACTAGACAAATATTTTCGAGCAGCCAAAACTTCACGGCGGCTACGAGATCTAAATTTCAGAACGTTTTATACGTCAACATCAGACGTGAAAAGTCCTGCTGAAAGACCGTTATCCGACCCAGCAGCACAGCAAAAGACTGCAAGACTCGGAGACGAGAAACTGTCGCTCGCTAACCGTTTTCTCCACCGTGAGTATTAAAAATTGTTTACGTCCGTTTCAAAAACCACACTTTTCTTCTCGTCATTAGTTATGTCATGTTTGTGCTAAAATTAAAAATTAAACTGAATCAATAATAATTACTTCCTAACTTAATGTAGGTATAGCGAATAGGTATTTAACCTTAGGTAATATTTTTTAGTGATTTATTTTCTTATGATTCGTATTGATTAAACAAGGTATTTTCCAAGGGAAATTTTCTACGTGCATCGTCGTGACTCACAAATATGCTAAAAATTGATTTGGTAAGTACTAGGCCATGCTAGGTGATCAGATGTACTATTATCCCACCTCCAATAATAGGTATACAACATATAATTCATAACATTGGCTCGTTTTCATCATTATAAWATTATAGTGGTTATTATTTTCCAGCACACTATTATAATGACATAAATAACGGTTAAACTGTGCAAGATGATAATAATAAATAATAATAAGTCAAATTAATTTGTTGGCACACAGACACTTAGCTATAGGCTATACTATATACATAGTCTTATCGATTATGTAATTCGCGTGAATAACCCTTCGCCGCCGCCGTAAGTCATGTGATTTCCGCCGGTTTATTGACATCAAAAGAATGTTTATATTACTACAAAACACGATACGATCGCTCCGGTGAATATTGTTTTCGTCATTCCTCCGACTGCTGCATCTCCGATATTGTTTTTAACCGTTCTCTCGCGACGGATGCGTTCTCGTATTCGTGTATATGGGTGGAAGGATGAGCTGGTGCACAATCTGACGATCATGATGTGAGGTAGTGCTGCATTTACGTGTATGTTACGTCAGGAGCTCATTTACCTCATCATTTTGGTGGGAGAGGATAATTTGTGTTTCGTTATATTTTACAATCTCTACCAACTATTTTTTGATATTTGTATTGTTTTGGTCATGTTTTATATCGTTCAAGTCCTTGTTATAATTATAACATAAACTCGCTCAAATAAATAATATACATATACTACTTTTTCTATAACATTCATTCAAGTTTATRCATTTTTTTGTGCTGGTACGGTTACTACCTTGGCGTCTAGATGCCACAGACAGTGAAATAACTGAGTTACACACACTCCGCATCTAGGCTAGCACAAGAGGGTGAGTCTAGACGCTGCATGAAGCCTCRCCAATCTACAAAAGTAAAGATCATCTGGTGGTAGGTAGTATAATTTTATTAAGTTGACATATATAAATATTATAACTAAAAACAATAATATGAATTTAAAGTATGTTTTGGAAATTTAAATACAATCTAAATTAAATATAATAATAGGTAGGTAATCTTACTTAGTTATACACACTATTGAAAAAAATAATAAACGAATTAATAAATAACTAAACCAAAATAAACGAAAATAAAACACTATCTAASTATGACCTAAGCTCTTGCAGGGTCCCACCCCTTTATTACGCTCTCCAGCCGATGAAAAACATTGGCGATTTCCATTTAAATCACAAAGGCATGTTGAACAGTGATGTTGTGTATAAAATAGAAATTAGTAAATTAATCATCGTTTTTTTATTGTGTGTTTTAGACGATCTGAGAAACTCACGTGACACCGCGGATACCATACAGCGTTTGAGTTGTTATTTCCCATCGACCTCAAAGGACTTAAAAGGTTAAAAGGTAAATAATACTCATACTCGTGACCGGATTCAAATTGTTCTTTAATACTTGAAGCATTTCATTTATATAATATAATAATTATACATAAGTACATCGTGATTATAGGAGTACATTAAATATGCAGTAAAACATATATACAAAGCTTTACCGTCAGGTTGCTTGTTGTTTTGTATATTCACATGATAACTTTTAAAATTAGTTTTTTTCTTGTACTCTGTTAAATCCCTAGCCCATTTCATAAGTTTTTTTAAAAACGTACGCTTTTCGTTTTTAATTTCCTAAAATTGTTAAAAATAATAACTTAAATAAATTTAAAAAATTTGTTTTTAATTTATTGTGTGCAAAGTATTATACTATTGTCAATTTGATATACTATATATATATATATTAATATTATTTGTAAATCAATTTACCTATTGAAACATACAACTGCATCTAAACCATATTATATTTAAATTAGTCCAATAAATACTATATTAATATAAGTATAAACTATGTTATATATACAAAAATAAATAAACAAATATATTAAAATATGTTCGTTAATTATTTCACAATGCATAGAAAACATTAGTCCAAATGATTAAATATACAATAAACTGCATAGTGGTAATATCAGCGTGATTACACAATATAGGTAATTACTAATTGACTAATTTCAGTTTTTTTTTTCTTTAAACATTATCAAACATTTTTATGATCGGTCAAAAAGTGTTAAAAGGTAATAAAATCCTAAGTTCTGAGTATAGTATTATAGTAGCTTAAAAATAATWAAAATACATAAACTTAGGTACGGCATAAAAATACGTATACGGGCCGCGGAGTAAGCAAAATATGGCAAGTGCGTGTTTTAATTGAAACTATAATTAGTATAATTGAAACCATTATTCCTGGTCCAGGGGGTCTCCTAGCTCCCTATATACGCCACTGCAGTGGCCACATAAAGTAATATTAATAAATGACGGTTAAACTGGACGCGTATAATATCGTATGCGTATATGCAGTCAGAACACCTTTGAGCTGTCTGATCAATTTTTTTTCAATCTTCCATCGTTTTGTGTTGTTGGTCTTGTCCGTGCGTACCTAATACTTACTGCAGGTTATATAATTTTACCGTCGTCGTTTCGGCTCATTCGTTATTTTACCCGTTACTCGTGTCAGCGCATAATTATCCGAATTGCACTGACCGAGCCACCGGTGAGCGGTGAGCTGCATCGGCTACAGTGTCGGACAAACGGTCGCCGGCCGGTGCAACTGATGTAAAGCACCTAAAAATTATTTTTATGATTTTCCGCACAAGTATTACAATAATGTGTTATGACGATGGTGTTATATACGACCGGTGTGCATARTAATAGGCGTATGAAATTGTGGGCAGGCGCATAATATAAATATTATAATATATTATTTACCGCWGTCGGTAGGTACATATATTGTGATGACGTGCGCGCTTGTAGGTATATATATTATAATTATAATATCGTCGAGACTTGGCGAGATACAATACCGTGAGTATATATGCCTACATTATATATCGCTCACGAACAATCAATAACCTTTCAACTCTCATCGTGTAGGTAGTTATATATAGGTGTGTATATGTATTACAATATATATATATATATATATATAATATACATATAGCTAGCTAGGTTCGCCTCGGAAGTAATACATTACACACATATCTACACGATGTATATATATGTTAYTGTAAAATCAACGAATCACACGCGTTATATATAGGAAATGCAGTAATACGTATATATATTATTATATATGCTGTGTACCGTTATATTGCAGTTATGGCTATAGAAGACGACGCAACGCGGTGCCAATGTATCGTATATAGGTATATAGCTGCACGGGTGGTATATAGGTATATACCTGCAGTGGTATACCGCTCGTGGGCTATGCAAGATTATACATTATGTTATRCTGTTGTATGGCGTGTCGATGCGTCGGACTCAATACATTATTGTTACACAACTGCAGCAGTCATCGTTTGTAAAATAAAATARTTATTGTGATTGTTATTATATCACCGCTCAACGCTGCATGTGCAGGTACCATTACAGTAAAAACGATGCGAGCACTGCGGTATCTGCGGTATATACCATTATTCCCGTCTCCATTGTCCCCATATACGATTATAGTTGTTATTTTGTTAAATGTTTTTTTTNTATATTAAAAATTTATTGTAGTTGAAAAAACAAAAAATTATTTTACGTACAAAATTACTTAGAATGCTATCTGTATATTCAATATTAAATATAGTGTTTCTAATAATATGTGTCGAATAATTCAATACTGTGCCTGCCCAAGATACGGGCGAACCGGCCGGTTGCCGGAGGCGCTACTTTTTTAGGGGCGCTTTTAATATACGAATATTTTATAAATTTTAGCGTAATATTTATTCAAATTGACAATAATATAGCTAAATGACTAAGTTATCTATGACGAAATATTCTGTTATATATATTTTTTTTTTTAGATTTTACTCCACTTTCCAGTTTTTATCATTATATACGTCTATAAATTGTATCCAAATAAGTTTTGCCTTCCTTTACCTATTCATAAATATAAGAATTTTAAACAAAATATGTAGGTAAGTATAAAAAGGTATTAAATGTATTATGGAGCATTTGATTAATGGCGCCTTTCAAAAAATTGCCCGGGGCGTCAAAATACCTTGGGCCGCCCGTGATTCAATAATAGATAAAAACATTGCCAAACTTTCCAAAAATAAGCAGTCTCAAATATCTCATTAATTATTAGTTTTTCACTATTACAACAGAATTTTTTTTTTAATCTCAACAATAAAATTATAATTTATTAATAATATGTTCAATAAAATGATTTAAATCAGTTATGAATGAAAACTAGTGTTTGTTTTCATCACGTTTCTTGTGATATTCACAGAAGGGCACCTAACAAAATTTGTAAAAACAATAGGGCACCGTTTGCTAAAAAGGTTGGGAACCGTTTAATTATTATTTTTTTATAATTTTATTTTTATTTTTATTATTTATTAAATTAATTAATTTTTATATAATCTGTGGTATATAGGTATGACATGCGAAAGACAAAACGATATAGCACTCTCGTTTGATATGAACCCGCCACGCGTACCGCACATAAACATATAAATATATTAATTAAATGTCTATGGTACCGCACCACCTGTTGCCGCCACCGTGTCGCAGGTCCTGCTAGGACGTTGCTTGAGTTTTTTTTTTGTTTTTTATCGACCAATTCACTTTTAAAATAGCTGACAGTTGGAATAGTCAAAAGATCGTGAGCGACACATAATCAGGTCATCATCTGCAGCGTGCTAGTTAATATTATATTATAATTTGCTATTATGATGACGATTGATAACGTGATATCATTACGATAAAATATTATTCAAAAATCATTTTTGATTAACATTTGCCATTTGGTAATAACCATTTTTATACTTTACTTCAGAGTTTAGATCGAATCCCACCCGTATTCATGACACTGTGTTGATTAATTGTTAACTCATTAACCCTATTTCAATAATTTATTTTTAATCGTTGTTGTTGTTAATGGCGGCAAAATAAAGGAGGTCGTGTTTTGTGCTTATATCGCATTTCAATATTCATACAATATCGTAAACCATAGGCTTTCCGATTCATTAACACACTGCGTATATATGTAACAGCACACTGCTGTTGTAGTCTCAGTCACCGATACCGTTCAGTAGGTATAAGCAATAATAAGCTGTAGGTATATAAGACATAAGTATTTACACATGGCGGTATTGTGTTCCATAGATAATTATTATAACTATACGTAAATTTCAAATTTTCAGCAGGGGCCGGTGCCACGAGTCGGAAAACTTAATAATTTTTTTCATCATCGAGTGGAAATGTGAATTTGAGCGATTACGGTTTTTAAGCAAATTAAAAAAAATAAAAAAACTACCGGTGGGAAGACAGGTATACCTAATGTACATTATTCAATTTTAAGTACACTGCAACATTGCCAACATTATAATGATATGATCCCGGTGCACTGCACACAAGCGTTTTATGATATAGTATAGGTACGGCGACTGATGGTGTAGTACAGGGGTGGCCAACCGGTCGATCGCGACACCCTTTCGCATTTTCTTAAATTTTTGAACCTTTTTCAGAAAACAAATAAAATATTTATTTTTTTTTGTAAATTTGTGTATCTTTGTATATCCTAGTCTCGCATCCTAGATCGCAGTCTATCAAAGTTGGCCAGCACTGGTGTAGTATATCGTGCATAGTTGTGTGGACGTTTTCGATCGCAACATTATTGTTGGCTGGCACACATACAGATGGTCCACCTGTTGTACGTATAGGTATATAAATAAAATAGCATTTTTTTCTTAGCGCGCACGTATCACATATCATTACATAATAATATATATATAGAGGACGTCCGCGGCGACGTTATAGTCTGTCGTTCACGTCTGTCCGCCCGTCCATCATAAAATAATATTATATGCTACACGCAGTCCGCAGTCTCTCGGGTCCGGCTCGGTGTATATTCGATGTGTGTTAGGTGTCACATTGGAGGCTCGGATACAGTCCTATTTTGATCCTATCAAAGAATCTGGATCATTTTAGAYGAATACATCGACACTGTATAGGGACTTGAAAATGCGTCGTTAAAACAGGTCACGGGGGACTTCAATGCGAGAGGCACCATGCGCACCTTCGAGCCGGTGTATATACAGTGCGGGCTGGTGTACGATATACGGTGTACACAGTCTGCAGTATACGGCATGTACGGTGGAGTAACTGAGTAATAAATTGTCGGAGATCGCAAATTATGTTTACTAATCAAAATCAAAACCCTGAGCTCTACCAACCCYAAGAGTTTAAAAATATATTTGCATTCTATTAATACCTGATTATTTGTTTTTACACAAGTCTCAAGACTCGTTTAATGGTTTAAAAACAAATTGTGAGTATAGTGTACACTATGATGTAGATCCTAAATATAATTCCTATAAACACATCTGTGTAGTTATTTTACAAAGGCATATTATTTAGTGTAAGCGCGTTTCATCATTATTTTTAAATTAAAGTTAAATTGGTTGTTCGCTATCTGGCGGTTTTCCCATACAAAGTAGTAATGAAAATCTCCCAGTTCCTCAAAAAGTCCATTGTTGGAAGGTGTCCGTTAAGAGAGGTTTATCTGTTTATAAATGTATATATTATTTATAATATACCTGTAGAGTGTAAAGGATACGAAAGGAACCGCAATTGACTTCCTGCTAACACACATTTTTATATGTATTGTTTCATACAGYTTTTTATTAATTTTAAACAAATAGCATACAGAACTTGGTTTTAGATTTTAAGATGGAAATGTATCAAACAAATATTAAAATAATTAGGTATTGGAAAAAAAGACCGGTGATTGTTTGTAATGGTAATGATTTTGTCCAAAAAATTAATAGTCCATTTGAACAAGTGAAATTATTTTTTGCTGCATAAGATAAAAACCCTKTGATTTTGTTGCGCACGTTTTAAAAAATGTATTTCTGTTATGATTTCGTTTTAAGAATTTCATTATTAATTACCTATTATGTATTTTTATGTGACTTTATTTTTCAATCGACAATGTACGTTGATAAACAATATAAAAATTAATTTACTTATAAACTTATTCATACTTATCCACCCAAACGTATTTCTTGTCAAATAAACACTTGCTCAATCGGTACATAATTATTCACCCAAACGGATCACATTTTATGTCGAATCGTCCAAACGGTCTACGCACGACTGTGGTGTACCTCAGGTAGCCTATCTCTGACGCCGTTTGATATCATAAGTAAATATTAAATAAAATATAAATTATGTACCTGCCTAAAAAATATGATTTTGATTTAATTTTCGAACATTTTCAATAAAAGGTAGGTATTCATAATAATATAATGCATAGAGAAAAGAAAAACTATTCACCACAAAACCGTTAGTCATGTTATAAAAACACTTATCAAAACAATGGTATAAAGTGTTTTCTGTAAAGAGCAGTCATGAAAAATCCTAAAAGCAACTATGAAGAAAATAGAAGTTTTTGAAACTTAGAGTTGGAGAAGAACCTRAAGAATGTTAAAAATCTATTGGACCGATTGGTTGTCAAATAATTAAGACGTTAATCGGAAAATACGAGAAGGAAATCGATATGGAAATCAATAACAGAGAGGATAATATAGGGGACACCTCCAAAGATATAATGCATGTTTAACATATCTAATTGAAAGAAAAGTTGAGAGAAACCCAAGAAGAAGAAATCCAATACAGACTTATATGAAGAAAATCGTGTTGGATTTAGATGAAGGATCTTACGGAGGATTGAAAAAAGTTACTATGGGTAGGGAAGAGAGGGAGAAAACATTTCATTAACGAATCCATCTACAGATCGGAAAAATAACTATTGCGAGCTTTTACATGGTATTGGATACACAAATATTATAATACATYATACCATTCTAAAATATACACCATTTCTAATAAGTTAATTTCTCCTTAAAACTGTGTGATTTTTTGGTCATGCTTTACTGAACTTTATACTAAACGAATATGACGAATAGGATCTAAACTTTAAGCTCACTTGGTAATTAGATATAATACATTTTTTGTTAATACATGATTCACTGACTGAAATGACTTTTCGAGAAAAAAATTTAACCCCTCATCCTCCACCGGTAAAAATCCGAATCACTCAAATTGTATGCCTGTAAGTTTTTGATCTTATTAAAAAAAAAAGAATTCGTTACGTTATGTGACTAGACAGTTACAAATATACTTCATAAGTAAACGTGATATTTTCAAGTTGGTGGATGTTCATTATTAAAATAATTAGTCTGTGCGTAGTCTGTAAAAATCGCCTCAGCTGTACAACGCATACGATTTATGCCTTATCGAGCACGGTCGTCGCATTGCTGAAGCATTTCGTTTCGAATTTTCAACGGGTTGTCTGCTGCAGTAAAAAGCGTTTTGAGAAAGTCAAATCTGTCCTTCGTTTTGTCGTTTTCTCTCCACCGAGCTGGAAATGTACAGACTGAGAATTAAGTGAACTAATGGAAGTGTGCGGTTAGAGAAATTGGGCCATAACTATCCTACAACAATAGGTAGGTATGATAAGTTGTTATTGTGACAAAAGCCAAAAGGTTTAAGAACAGAGTTTAAAAAAAGAGATTTCGACTATAAGAAATGAGATACTCATCTGTTCTGTTCAGCGAAAGAACACGCCAAAAGTAGTTMCCCCGTGCAACATCCCGTCATGGCGGAACCAGAGTGACACGGAGGGATGCTCAGAATCGTTGTGTCCTCTCGCTGAACTAATTATGTTTCACCCGAGATACGGTGAAACGATCTTTATTCCGTTTTAATACTGAGCACATAGAAGTCGGAGGCTTGCCTTCCATTTTCCATGTGAAAATTAATAAAGTAAATACACAAAATTATAGAACTAAAGAAACTCGATTATAGTACCTACTTAAATAACATATATTGTATAAATTGTATTTTGAGAGACATGAATAGAATGCATATAATATACTAATTATAGGGTACCTATATACATTACCTCGAATCTCTCAAGTTAAAAAAAAAATCTGCAGGCATATATAATATTGAATTTATAACTCCCCCACTCATGTGTTAAGAATATTTAAAATCACATTAATATACAAATATTAATATATATATAGAACCAAACGATAAAATATTCGCCTGCAGAGGCAGTACCGCGTTTCGTCATATCAGGCCGAAGACCGAATGCCGAACGATTTTCTCTGGTTTGCAAAGTGTCTGGAAAAGAAAACCGTCGGGTAACCCAGGATGGGGAAAGGTGTTTTCCCTTCAATAGGGGCGCGGAATCATTTTCTACGAGCTATACCTAACCTAACCCAAAATTCCACGTGTAAAACAGCCACTAAAGAGAAGCTTGATCGTTGAAAAAGTGTATAATAACACAATGAACACACGAACAGAAAATATTGGTTAGCACCAAAATTCCACTAGGTATAGTATTAMGGAAATCGTTGGCTAAAAACTAAATTTTTTATTTAATTAGTAATTCATTGTGTCGTTTTACCTAATAATATAGTCGCAGTTTTTACGGTACATAATAATATTTTATATTAGGTATACTATGATGATATTATAGTTTTTGCAAACAARTTTGCATGAATACATCATGTAAAATAATATCATTGGCAATGCAGCACGGGAAGAAACAAAAACAGAAATGTATTATTTAAATTTAATAAATCACCCGCTCTATTTATGTTAACATAAAAAAAAAAAAATCAAAATAATAATTCACACAGCTATTACAAATATCATGTTTCAAAAATCTGTGAAATAATATAAATATATAGGTATATATTATTATATATTATAATATTACAGTCCGACCCGTACAGATGGTTACTTAAAAACTAACACTCCGAATGTATGCAGTATGTGTTATTTACGCGTATTTTGGATACAAAATAATATATACGTCGATTGAACAATACAGAAATGAATGGAGAAAAAATAAAATAAAAATAGTGACATTACTATTATTACTATACAGCATGGTAGTTTTTCGGGTTCGCGAAAAAGTACATGACAATTAAGTGCGAATCACATATTATTATAATACACATTTAAATTGTACAAATAATTATTTACATTACGAAAAAAAAAACACTTGGACACGTTATTTACAAAAGTATTTTCTGCGCAGACGCGCGCGTTGTCGTATTCGTCTTTTACTGCGTTACTATTACATATATATAATTAAAAAATAAAAATACACGTATTTTCGATACATTACGTTTAACRACCGTTTAAAGTGATGTTACGTCTCAAAACTGATGGCGTTTAACGTCTATGTATATGCTGTTAATATCATTACCGGATGAGTTATCTTTAAAAAAGAGTATAATTTTTTTTTCACATTTATAAAAAGGTACGTTTATATAATATTAGTAAACATCGAAAATCAGAGCTTGATATCATTAATAAGTGGTTAGTGGTGTAATGATTCAGTTTCATCGTTGGTAAAAAAAAAATTTAAAATTATAATAATTATAAGAAAATAAACGTACTAAAAAAGAAAGTTGGGTACTGAGCTTCATTCAATCGTCTAAATAAGTAAAAATCAAGCATTTTGCTCACACATACAAAAAAAGAAAAAAATTCAGGACTATGTACATATTTTTTTTTGTTTAATCTTCTTGTCTCAATTTCATTGTGTTATATTCATTCAGTCTCGGTCTCGGGGGGCGCAATTTGAGATCCGGTTATCRCGTTAATATATATATATATACAATGTAGATACATATAAATATAGGGAAATAAGGCAGTCTGCTCCGATCAAACATCACTGAAACACGAGAAAAATCAATTATTAAAACATTTTTATTGCAGTATGTTAATTAATATCACGCCATTAGACAGTAATAATAAAAATTATCATAAATAAAATAAATATGATTGAAGGGCATATTTTTTGTACATAAAACGAGCTCCATTGAAACTGAAAATGACTTGCCTTTGTGGGAAAACTCTCCAAGTTATGTTATATTTTTACTGTACAGTGTAGACCACAATATCATTACACAACATAATATATTATTATTATCTATTAAAAGACGTCCATGCTCTAACTGGCGTTATCGCCCGGAAACCGTACAAATAGTGTAATGGGGGAAATAAACGTTATCATTTAAAAAAAAAAAACCGAGGGCGGGGACAATAAATGAAACAAATCGATATACCGCACTAAACGAGGACATATTTGGTCTAACAACACAATATTGAAGTGCAGCTGTCATCACAAAATACATGCACAATATATTAAATACACACACACACACACACACACACACATTTATATAATAATATTTATCACCGAAAAATATATAGAAATATTTTTTACTACTATAGATGTATGCGTTAGAAAATAGCAAAAATGCATGTTATAATTATAATTACATGAATATTGTTGACAAATGACAGTGTTAAGTATTCAATTTCAATATTAGAGTTTAAATTACATACGCCAAATTTTTCGTAAGTCAAAAACTAGTAGTGTAGCATAAAGTCAAAAACAAACAGCATTTCTCATCAGTCATCACTATTTATAATATATATTATAAATATATACGTTAGAGAATTGCATACCTAGTTTTTATACGGATTTTCTATGTAAATTATTTATTTTTAAGCAGTGAATATAGACGTTTTATTTAAATATTTAAAGGATAATAATAAAATAAATCGTAGAAAATATTATTTAGGTCGATTCTTTGAAAACATGTACGATTTGAATCCTAATTAAATTAATAAAAACAATTTTTTTTTCTAATTTAAAAGTACCCACTTAAAATATTCCAGTATTTATTGTTTTATTATATAAAAATGTTATCAACATTTTAAAAGTAATAAAATCGTTCTTTAGTCTTAACAATATTTATTTGATGTATAAAAACATTAAAAACCTAAGATTTGTTAAATTATTTTTGGTTTAATCCAACTCTAACAAAACACATTGGGATACTTTGAAAATAATGTACGAGTACATTGCGATGTTCGTCATATTTAAAAATAACAATTTTTTTTAAGCAATTATAAATTTTTATGCCGAAGTTACTAATACTGTGCAACAGTAAAACATTATGAAGTACCTAACCGTAAACTAAATCAACGAAATATTTCTCACATATACCCATAAAATAGGACCTATACTTAACAATATTATTTTAAAACCAAAACCGTTAAGTCACGTTTGTGCACATTCACGAACCGATTAAAAAGTAAAAACTTTGTCAAAATTATTAAATAAAAGTAGAAATAAAATTATGTACGTCTGGATACATATTATGCCGAAATGGCAACATACCAATGCATTAATACATAAATGTATATTTGAAAGATAATAGTTAATCGTATACGTGCTATGCCGAGATATTATTAAAATGTATGTATATATGCAATATGTATACTATATATATATATATATATAGGTACCGGTTAATCGAGGTGTAGTTTTATTTGGTGATTCGGAAGAGTTGGACGTTTCTCATAGCCTTACCTTGAGAAACTTTTAAATGCCGCCGACTGGGGATTTATGCACAAAGGCACTCGGTGACTGCTCAACTGGTCGCCGATAAACTTGTGAAGTTCCTCTGTAAATCATAAAGATTTAGTAAAACAAAAATATATATTATACAGCACTATGCATAAAACTACAATTTATTATGCAACGACACCCTAGTGCGTATACACGTCGTGTACCTTTGACTTGTTGTACATTCGACATTTTCTTCTCCCATTTATCGTCGAACGTTTGCGGCGCCACCGGTTCGTAATCCATACAGAAATGCCGGAGACCAGTCAACGGTACCGTAAAACAGCATTTGCACATGCAGCTATGATACCTGAGACGGCCCTCGTCTATGTAAGGATGGACCAGCGCGTCCATAACGGACATCCTTTTGTCCTGAATGTCAGTAAACACAAAACAGGACGTTAATAAAGAGAACAAAAATACATAGCGACACGTGGTATTCCAAGCTATACCTAAGGAGGCTATTACAATGGCTTATTCCAGACTGTACGTTAACACTTACCGGGTTGAAAACTAGCATCTGGGAAATCAGGTGAACTGCCTCATGCGTCATCAACGTAGACAAAGAGTACAACAGAGACATGGACGGTTTCTTCATACGTCGTATGAGCATGTGGGAACGGGCGGCCGGACACGCGTGGGCCATGTCTTCCATAGTCGGCGTTCCGAGCAAGTCCGTTATCAATTCCAACTGTGAAAATGGCAACCATATAAATAAGTTCAAGTATGCATGCATTTGATATTATTAGTATTGTCATACACGTATCATCGAGTATGCGCATGAAATTTACTATTATTTACTATAATATAATAGGTATTATGACACCAAAATGGTGATTATATTTCCTACACCCAGGTGCACTTAACTAGGGGTATTTGGGTGACTTACTTGTTGAACCGTGTCTTGGCCTTGAAACAGTATCCGCCTGGTAACGAGTTCGGCAAATATACAACCGACGCTCCACACGTCTATGGCTGATGTGTAGTGTTTGGCTCCCATCAGTATTTCCGGCGCCCTATAATATTGTGTCACCACTTCTTGAGTCATGTGTTTGGTCTCATCTGGTTCTTCTACTCTGGCCAAACCAAAATCACAAATCTACAAAAACGTGAAATGTGAAAACCATTATATAAAGTATTGTATGATGTAATTATATATATATACACAAATAACAAATGTAACAGCCTTTAAACCAATCAGGCATTTTACATTTTTAACACAAACGAAAAAAAATCATCTACAAAATAGTAGTTAAACAAACAAAGGATTTGAAAAGTATGTGTTCTATCATGAATTTAATAAAAATACAGCGGGGTGCTCTCGGTGGTATCAAATTTTACAATATCATAATTATATTACATATACTAGTATAGTGTAGTTAACTATTTTTGATTTCTATTATGATCGCTAGTACATAGAAATGCTTTTAAAATATTCTCGATTATAATAGTGCTCTGGAAACAATACACGCACGTTCGCGGCCAGGGTTTAGTTTCGAAAACAGGAAAAGAAAATTGAATCGACCAACACGAAACAGAAAGAGGAATCTAAAACTATGTAACGTAGTTACAGTATTATATTATTATATATTGCAGTGTGATAAAAATTTATGCTTGTAAATGTGAACAATTCACATTTTTTATAGCAAATTAAGAAATTTTAATAAAAATACATTTTTGAACCATTGAAAAAAAAAAGTATTATTTTTATTATTATTGTATACAGTATTTTAATAGGAATGTATTATATTTTTTAATTAAGTTACGACAGAAAAATATAGAAACACCATCGAATCGCGTGATGCATGCAGCGGTAGAACTCAGGCGTGAAATTAATAAACTTACTATGGATATAGGAATGTAAAGTATAATAATAATAATTAAATTTAGGCCAAAATACGCGCTCTAAATGTGAAAGAGCATGCCTTTATAATATCACGTATCAAAATAATATTATGATTAACATAAATAATTTTCAGTAAAATACTTGTAAGTATTATACTATGGTATACGCACCTTTAGAATACAATTACTGTTGACAAGTAGATTTCCTGGTTTGATGTCTCTGTGCAATATTCGTGCCGAATGCAGATACTTGAGACCCCTGAGGATCTGATAGAGGAAAACTTTTATATGGTCTGGCGACAGCTGCTGTGGCGACACTATAATTTTGTGCAAGTCGCTCTGCATTAGTTCGGTTATCACGTATCTATAAGGATGCTACAAGTCAAGGAAATTACGATTACGATGATATAATGGACATATAATACATGATGAGATATTGACGCACGTCTAGTATGTCAAGACGCTTTTATAAAACATAAAAAATAATAAACACAAGATACGACGCTCTTGTTATCCGTCTAGTTCAATATTATAATGTAAACAAATGGCATGCGGAGGCTGGGTATACAGGACTATAACATACCGTATTTTTAGAATGATGGATAGATCTTTATAGAACGGCACACCACCATGTGTTTCAAGGGATCTTTTTGTCGTTTTAAAAATAAAAAGGGGGGGAAACGAGTATCGACGACAATATTATTAGTTATTACTCGACTGCAAGAGGGTAATACTATATGTATTATCCAATCTCGGGGACGACGACCGCTGTTGCTGTATATATATATATATATATATAATATATATATATATATATATATGTATACGCATGGTGATGCTAAACAGAATATAACTGTAATACCCATATTATACCACAGTGACGACCCCATTTTTCATTTAGACTTAAAGTAAACACAAAAATGCAATGCGTCAAAACTATTTGGTTAATCGATTGCAGCGTCAAGTCTACGACGCGATATCAGTATTTAATCAAGATCCTATTACCAAGTGGCAAGTATACATTGTCCGGAGACAGCATTATATTATAACGACGACGCGAGCAGTATATATTATAAACTAATTTTATATGTGTCAAACAATAATAATTGTTGTGCAATATCCGTGTACGATTAAGTACACACACGCCAATATAAGCACTATAATAAAATAAATGACATGCCATATAATAATAAATATATAATATTAAAATTTATATGAATTATAACACATATAATATTTCAGACATGGCTCTAGGTATCGACTACAAGCGTACAAACGATAATTTATGAGGATCATTGGTCGAAAAACGAAGAGAAAGTATAATAAAAGAAAAAATATGATCGCGTTCAAAACGATAATTTTGTATTATATATATATAATAATTTATAAAACATAAACTCAATAATCCCAAAGATGCAGCTGCTGAAAATTCGGATTTCTGGACGGATCAATGCACAATAGAAACTGCAGCGCGTGCATGCGTATATACTAACTATATTATAATATATCCTTGACGACAACGGATATGTATTGTTAACGTTTACCAGTTACCGTATATTCCGTAAATAAATACAATAAGGATTATATAATTAAATATCAATCATAACACGCCCAGAAATCCGTGATATTTCCATAAAACATAGATTTTCTTATTTAAAATAAACGATTATATATATATATATATAAATATATTTTGTGCACGCGCATTTAATCGTTAAGGATTACGATACTATTAATCAATACAATCTTCGGAGCACGAATAAAATACTTTTCATTTAAATGTATAACATTCAAGGATACATTAAACTGGTGGTAAAAAATTAACAACAATGGAAAGATGCAAGAAAAAATAACAGATATACTTTAGATCGACATCAGAACCAATAGTAATATAGTTATGTAGGTAGCACACACATTATGATTTTATTCTTCAAAAACCAGTTGATGTGTACTTGTACTATAACTTGTAACTTTAAAATTCATACTTACGCAGTAACTATACAATTTAACGAGTTTAAAACTTTCTCGGTGCAGTAAAATAAGTGGACACTACTTAATTTATGAGTAGGTTACAGATAAATATAGTATATACTATATACTTATACTTATACGCGTGTACATAATTATAAGTTTCAAAAATTATGTTTATACGAGGGACGTCCAGAAAGTAAGGTTACAAGGGCTATATGGAATAAGGGAATTTTATTTTTCAGGGTTGTCATCATTATCATGTAGATTATTTTCTAATAATCAATACAAATTATCAAACTCCTCAGTCCGTTATGAAATGTCGTCACAGCTAACAGCGCCAAACGCGTCAAACAGTTCGTCCTCCAGTCACTCCGCCTACAGTAGGTGTGAGATAAACACTCTGTTATTAAGTCCCTTACTTTGCATAACGAATCCGCTGCCAGTATWCATCGCCAGCTTGTAGAAACCAATGGATCGGAGGTGATGAGACGTCAGCATGTTACCAAGTGGGTTAGATTATTTAAAGAAGGCCGTACTGATACTCACGACGAAGAAGGTGTGGAAGACAGGTAGGTTAGGTTAGGGATTGGAAAGCGTTATTATTGTTCGATTTTATGCCTAAAGAAACTGTAGATTTAATGCATAAATGCAACTGCATACTGTGAGACACTCAAGAAGTTGAAAAAATAAATCAAGGACTGCTGACTCGTGGTGTGTCACTCCTTCATGACAATGCTAGACCTCAAACCACCCGTCTCACCTGAGACCTGCTATTGTTTTATTTGGGTGGGATATTGTGATTCAACTACCTTATTCCTCGAAACTGGCACCATTGAATTATCATATTTTCAATAAATTGAAGGGGTTTTTGGGTGGACAACGATTTTCAAATGACGAGGAGGTCCAGGATGCTGTCAAAAATTGACTTCGGGAGGTGGAGCAGAAGGTATACGAGGGTATACAAAAACTACTCTCTAGGCTTTAAAAATGTTTTGACCTCAATGGCGATTATGTAGAGAAAAAATGACATGTTTAGACACTTATCTTGTAAATTTCATATAAATATATTCATTTTTCAATTTTTAACTTATGTGTTGTAACTTTACTTTCTGGAAATCCTTTGTATATCTACATAATGGTCACTATCCAGCTCCCCAAACACAAGCAGACAGTTCTATTAAGGTGTTATATTTTACTGCATCAATACTGCATATTTTAACTTATTGAAGCATTATCGGAGGTAACTGCTGAATATAGGGTCCATCTACAGCTCAAATTATATTAATGACAGGATTGGTTGCATATTTGGTTGCCATAATACATATTATTATTATATTGAATGGGTTGAGAAAACAAACTGAAATATTTTATACAAGGGGAACGCGTGGTATGTGTATTATACTCTGACGACTTACCAGAAACAGAGAATGAGAAAGAGATAAAGATATATATGAAAGCCATCAACCGACGGCGGTCGTCCAGTGTAATGAACGGGAGTGGGAAAAAATCCATAGAACGTTTTCAAACAATGTACCATTATTGCATATATATAAGCATTATATKTTTAGTTTTACACAACAATCGTTTGAATCGATTTCGAAGTTACGATGACGCAATAGACAAGGCTATATTATATTTATGTACATTGTACATAGGGAAGCTAGCGTTGTACTTAGATGTTTAAACTTCAAAGTTATCGATTATAGCGCGAAAAAAAAAATATTTATTGATATAATATGTTCACAAATAATRAATATATTATTCATTAATCATACCAGTATAATGTTCTTTAAGTTGTACGCGCGTGATAACAATTTTGCAAAAGAGTAGGTACGATCTTTTTGTACTTCACGATGCAGGAAATATACGACGAAAATCCTAAGGCGGTCTACAGTCCAATCTCTGTATAATACGTACTGTACGTCTACACCACTACAATAAGACGACTCCCTCCACTCTTTATAGAGGGGATAAGAGCGCGAGATTAACGCGCAGAAGCTAGGGCTACAGCCCTCGCCCTCGCTGTCTAACGCACGCAATGTAAGTAGCACAATAAATATACAACAAATAAGAACCTGACGAAATTGTATACCAGTAGTCTATTATATAAATACTATATATGAGTAACATATACTTTCTTAAAATTGCAGGCATCTGACTTTTTTGTTAAAAACATTTCAAAAATCGACCAATTCTATGTAATAAAATACTATTTTCATATGTATTCTCGTCGAAATTATCTGATCAAAATTATTATTATGCTATTCAATTATAATATGACAACGCGCGACGACGTAAGCGATGCTAGCGAACAGCATAGGACAGAGAATTATTTTTTTTAAGGGTAGTCGTTAATTATATAAGTGCAGCGTCCGGTTTATTGTATACGGTACGAGTATTTTCTATATTATATTATATTTGCAGAGTTAATATGAGTTAGGTTTTATACCATGCACACACACACACACACACACACACACACACACACTTCCAGACGGGGCAGAAGAAGACCTGTGCAAATTGTTTAAACAATTTTTAAGTTGATTCACTGACGACGACTAAAAGAGGGAATGAGATCAAGGGATAGAGAGAGTGAGAGAGAGAGAGAGAGAGAAAGCACTAGATGGCAGAGAGGTAGGCGGATGCATGAAAGAGGAGACGACGTTATTTAAACGCGCATGTGGCCGTTATCATCTTGCAGATTGTAAATATCGAATATATAAGCGCCACATGTATTATAAATGAAAAAATAGACCAAATATTAAAATTTTTATAGAACGTAACCGGATAAAACTAAAAATCCAAGATTGATGACCTCGTTCTGTTAAAATATAACCATGTGTGTATACTAGGTATGTATTTAAATGCGAGTTCAACGTGCAGTAATTGCATTTCACTTTATTTAAAATTTATAAAACCCTCGAAATAATCCAAATATAAAGGACTAATCCGGGTAACACTAAAAAAAACCAATATTTATTGTATACAGAACCGACGATATATATCATACAAATTATAAACCTTCAAAATACGTATTGTGTATTGCGATGAGTGTAATTAGTCGTCGTTGTTTATCAAATGAACGAACACAACTAGTATCTCAGAGATAAATATGCGCAAATTCCTCTTGGATTAAAACGTGGCAGTAAGTGTATACGTGCTCAACATTTTTGATTTAGCGAAATTTGAAGTTCACATCTTGAAAGCGGCAGTTTAGGTCGTTCAGCTACCTATAGTGAATTATATCAAATTTACCACAATAACACGGTTGAATAATTACAAGATCGTATTACGTAGGTAGTTAAAGTACATTCAATAAATATTTGCCAGTTAATACACTTTAATTTGAATGATTATTCGAATCATATAATATATTATATTATATAGCATACC